ATATCTCAAAAGAGATTGCATTAAGACACTAATCTTGTCAATCTCATCAGTATAACCTCATCACAGTGATAGAATTTATAACACATGAGGAGATCACATAAGCTCATCATAGTGGTAGAGTTTACAACACATAAGGAAATGACATCAGATAAGACAATCATACAATACTGGGAATCATGACATAGTCAAGATGCTACTTACACACATTTTTGGGGAGACACAATTCAATCCATGACAGAGCCCCTCATGAATAACAAAGACCCTCCAGTCAGGAAATTTTAAGGGTTTAGAGGTTACCTACCTCCCAGGAATCAGGGACAAACACCAAATTCTTCAGGTAAAATTAATTGTTCACCCCACATGCATCGATGCTGGAAACTGTTTTTTTAACCTCAACATCTATTTGTAATTTTAAAAAACTCTTAGTAAATTAGAAATAAAAGGAAATCTAATTTAGTAAAGATTCTACACAGAAACCTACAGCAAGGATTGATTGGGCAAACATTGAGTGCCTAATTTGGGCATCCAGTCTGTATAAGCAGTGATAATTCCACTCTTCTCCAGGCCCCCATCATCACTGAAATAGTCTAGGGATAGAGCGTTCTAGCCCCCATGCCATATACGCACAACTACACACATAAACAACTATGCATAGGAGCACACTAGGAGCACACAAGAAGATTCCACACACAAATCTGTCTTCTGACCAACCTGTCCCCCTAGTTCATCAGATCCTGATCTTATATGTTCCCACACAGATACCTACCCACAAGCATGCATCTAGAACCCCTTGTTATCCTTCCACAGTGCTCTGTTAGCCTAAACTCCTCCAGTAGTTGTCTTCATTTCTGGTTTCCGTTCCTCGTCCTCCGTCCAGTATACTGGTTGCTGTTGAATCAACTGACTCCAACTTATGGTGACCCCGTGTGCGTCAATAGAACTGCACTCCATAGGGTTTTCAGTGGCTGATTTTTCTAAAGTAGATAGCCAAGCCTTTCTTCCAAGGTGCCTCTGGGTGGACTAAAACCTTCAACTCTTCAGTTAGCAGCCAAGCACACTAACCGTTTGCGCCTCCCACAGTCTAGTAAAACAAACAAAAAAGCCATTGCCATGGAGTCCATTCTGAATCATGGTGACCCCAAGTGTGCGCAACTCTAATTCCTAAAATAATTCCTCAGCCCAACTTTCTTGTCCAGCAGGTGTCACACTTCACTAGAAAACAAACTACCAGATGGCATCTCCTCTACATTATAAAATCTATCCCCCAATACTGGGTGCCACTTGGGTTTTGAGGTAGACAGGAATTGAAGAGTGGTCCTGAAGAGAGGTGTGCTTACTAGCACGAGGGTTCTCAGAATAAAGTAATGTACATACTTCAGACCAGATTCAGAAGAGGATGTGGAACCAGGGATATCATTGCTGATGTCAGATGGATCCTGGCTGAAAGCAGAGAATACCAGAAAGACGTTTACCTGTGTTTTATTGACAATGCAAAAGCATTCAACTGTGTGGATCATAACAAATTATAGATAACATTTCAAAGAATAGGAATTCCAGAACACTTAATTGTGCTCATGCAGAACCTGTACATAGATCAAGAGGCAGTTGTCTGGACAGAACAAGTGGGTACTGCGTGGTTTAAAGTCAGGAAAGGTGTGCGTCAGGGTTGTATCATTTCACCATACTTCTTCAATCTGTATGCTGAGCAAATAATCCAAGAAGCTGGACTATATGAAGAAGAGCATGGCATCAGGATTGGAGGAAGACTCATTAACAACCTGCCTGATGCAGATGACACAACCTTGCTTGCTGAAAGTGAAGAGGACTTGAAGCACTTACTGATAAAGATCAAAGACAACAGCCTTCAGTATGGATTAAACCTCAACGTAAAGAAAACTAAAATCCTCACAACTGGGCCAATAAGCAACATTATGATAAACGGAGAAAAGATTGAAGTTGTCAAGGATTTCGTTTTACTTGGGTCCACAATCAATACTCATGGAAGCAGCAGTCAGGGAATCAAAAGACACATTGCATTGGGCAAATTTGCTGCAAGAGACCTCTTTAAAGTGTTGAAAAGCAAAGACATCACCTTGAAGACTAAGATGCACCTGACCCATGGTATATACCCAATGGTATTTTCAATCACATTATATGCTTGTGAAAGCTGGACAACGAATAGGGAAGACCGAAGAACTGATACCTTTGAATCGTGGTGTTGGCGAAGAATGTTGACTATACCATGACCTACCAAAAGAACAAATACATCTGTCTAGGAAGAAGTACAAACAGAATGCTCCTTAGAAGCAAGGATGGCGAGACTATGTCTTACATACTTTGGACATGCTGTCAGGAGGGATCAGTCCCTGGAGTAGGGCATCATGCTTGGTAAAGTAGAGGGTCAGTGAAAAAGAGGAAGACCCTCAATGAGATGGATTGACACAATGGGCTCAAGCATAACAACGATTGTGAGCATGGTGCAGGACCGGGCAGTGTTTCGGTCTGTGGTACATAGGGTCACCATGAGTCGGAACTGACTTGACAGCACCTAACAACAAAACGACAAACATAATTCTAGCTCAGGTGGACAAACATTCTATAGTGAATTGGCTTTCCGACCTTGGGTAAGTTCCTTAACGTCTCTGACCCTCACCTGTGAAATGAAGACAGTTTGTTCTTACGGGGTTATTGTGAGCAATGAACAAGATATAAACATAAAGCACTTAGCCCAGTGCATAGAACATGATAAGCACTTGATCTATTTTCCTCCCTCGCTCAGGGTGTGAAAGAAATAACTTTATCTAGAATTGAAATTTGAAGTTAGGCCCTGGCCCCTAAATCCTGACTATTTGAGGGTCTGCTTTAGGATTGTGATGAGGATCAAATAATGCATGTAAAACACCTGGCACAGTGCCTGACCCAGAAAGCTGAAGAACTGATCATATTTAACATTACTATTTCAGGCTTGCTACATGCCAGGCAATATTCTAGCAGTTTACAAGTATGAACTCGTTTAATCCTCATTAAAACTTACTTAGTACTCATAACAGAGTAAACTGTTAATTCCTTTCCTCTCCCTCAGTCTGTGACTCCATCCCACCACAGTTTAATTTCTTCTGTCAAATTATAAACCAGAAAGCTACCCCCAAATTCTGTGGTGTCTAGATGGGGAATAAAAGGAGTCCCTGACTCCTTTACTCAAGTAGGAGAGAATCATCCCAGCCCCTTGCTCTGCCCATATTCCCTCCCCAGAGCACCAAGAAAAAGACATGGATAAACAATATTCCCACCAGAATTTATTTCTCAGAGATGGTCACCAGCGTTTCAATGTCCTCTGTGGCACAGTGGGGCCCCCAAAAAGGTCCTTTAACCTTTCTCCCCAGGTTATAGTCATCCTAGGAATATAGCCTTGGGCAATAATTTGACTATGGACTATTCCTAGAAATGAGGTCCCCCAAGTTGCTAAGGTTTACATGGACAGGGGCACCATAGGATCCAAGAAGACTTTGGGGATTAGAGGGTACTGGGGAAGAATCTCCTCATTTGGAGCAGAAGTTGTAGGATTTTTGCCTCTAGAAAGTGTGCTGACCTGCAGAAGAAATAAAAAGCAGATAATGAGGCTTAAATCCAACTTGACCCCATTGTTTATCTCTGTAACCACCCTCTGACCCATAATAAATTGATGTTGGAAATTCTAGGTACCAAGGACTAATACAGGAGCCACCTTCAGTCCCCTCCCCATAGACACTCCATTGGGTAGAAGAGGCAGGAGCAGGCTTTCCTCTTTCCTGCTCCCACTCCCAACAATGGCAATTTAAATCATGCCCTCAGCTAGATCCTCATGGAGGTTCACCTCTACTATATATGCCATTAGCTAAACCCAACACTGACTCCCTCTAACTCTCACCCCACCACCACCACCACCAAAGGCCTAGTAGGCAAGCAACCCAACAGAAATTTTACCTTCTGGATAATTGGACCCAGGGATGGAAGTATAGCCTAATAAAGCAAGATACTTGATTAGAGGAGGGTCTTTGTGGGTAAATTTATCTGGCATTATTCACAGTGAATGGAATAGGAATGGGAGAATCAATCACAAACAAAAAGTAAGCAGAGATTGGGAGCAGGAGTGTGGATAGAGGTTCAAGGGAATCACTCACTAAAGGATCTAGCTCTCCGCCAGCTGATCAAACCAAGAAAGAAGATGATGAGGCCCAGGCCCAGCGTCACTGTAGACACAGAAACCTTCACCGTCTGCATCAGGGACAGCCCAGGAGCTGCAAAAATAGAATCTTACTAGAACCAATTCCTATTGCTCACTCCCAGAGCAATTTAATTTATTGTGACTTCCACCCAACAGGTTCAAAGGTCCTTTATCCCAACCCCAAGGGTCTAAATCACACCAACTCACTTTCAAGAAAAAGGCCTTTCCTCAAACCCCTCATCCTGTGAACTCCTATTCCTAGAGGAACCCTGGGAAACCCATCTCCCCAGAGTTAGCACCCCAGCTTCCAGTTCCTGTCTAGTACAGTGGGTCTTTCAAGGCATCCCCTTTCTTTCCTTCACTGCAAGGGCACTTCTTACCAGAGAATAAAGAGTTCCTCACTCCCCTCTCCATTTCCACTTACTTGCTCCATCTGAGCAGTTTCCTATTAAAATGTCTTTCTACCTTTCCTAACCTCCAAAAGTTACATTCCTTGATTCATCCTAGTACTTGTGGGTCTCCTACCTGTCCACATCCAGATTTTCCATGTGTCCTTCCAGATCCTGTCTATCAAATTCCATAGCCCCCAACTTTCTAGAGCTTGTCCTACACTGAATCTTACCCCTGCAGGATTTCTTTCCCATGCTGAAATGAACATTCTACTACCAAAAAAAAGTCCTTGTGCACCCTATAAAGAGACTTTTCCCAGGAGAGCTTGGGTGAAAATGTAGGTTCCACTCTCTTTTTCTGACGCCCTTCCCAGCTGCCTGGCAAGATACATTCCCCACAAAGAGAGGGCTGCCTTAGCAGCCAGTCTGGGACCCTGTTCCCTGGCCTTTTGTAGGCATCCTTCCTGTTTCTCATTTCTTCCTCTTTTCTTTCCCAAGAATCCCCAGATCTGTGTGCAATTTCTTTCATTATCTTTATTCTCAACCCTGGGGTTCAAACAATGGTAATTGGCTCCTTGTTCATTAGCCCCCAAGCATGCACACCAAACTATATACTAGCCATGGCTTTTTCCTCCCCCATTATCCCTGACAGAGCAGCCCAAATTCAATGCTGCTCCCACACCAAGAGAAAGTTCCCTTTCTTCTGCAACATTCTTTATTTCCCCCACCCCCATTCCTGACCTGATAACAGAATAGTTGAAATCTGAGGAGCCTAGAATACTGTATGACAATTGTTGGTTCTGAAAACACGGTTACCAAATCTATAGCCTCTTTTCAGCACAATCGTGCTCCCCTACCACCCCAAACATGCACATGCCAATTACACCACAATACCAACAACACCAACAATAATAATAACTAAGTCTGTTCCTTCATCCCATTGTCCCAACTCTAGTCAAAAATCCTCCTCACTCCCATTCTCAGCATCTCCCTTTCCATGTATACCATATACCTACCCACATCTCACTGCCTCTGCCATAATATTAGTGTTCCTTTTTCCACCACCAGCTTCCAATATCTCTCTGCGTTAACCCTAACTCCTCCCGCCTGCCATACACTTACTCCAATCCGCAAGGATAGGCAGAGGAGCTCCAATGTGCTCCACCACACAGGTGTAGGTGTCTCCAAAAGAAGGGGTTAAAGCTAAGTGGGAGACAGTCTGGTATGTCCAGTCTCCATTGGGCTGGGAAGTCTTCTGGGCACTGCTGTGAGGGAGAATGAGCTGCCCATTCTTCCTCCATGTGATGATCACATCAGCTGGATAGAAGCCCCACACATAACAGGCCAGCATCACAGGCTCCCTTGTGTTAAAAGGAGTGACTGGGGCTACTTTCACAGATGGCAGCCCTGTATAAAAAAGAAACATAGTCATGAAGGAGCATGACATTCTGGCTTTTTGTCCAACTTGGTTTCTTTCCTACTTCAATGTCTCATAGATCTTTCCTAACCTACTCACCCTGTACCACCACTCATCCCTTTGAAAATGACAAGTTAGTATTTACTCCTGTTTTGCTCTTTCTCTTCTCCCATTCCTTCACTGACCCTT